CAACCATGTCCTCTGTACCCTCCCATCTTATTTCAGACACTCTGTTGACCTCCACTGAAATCCATCAAAACCTCTCTCTCGGCCCCTGCCCACCCCCTTGTTGGAAGAGTGCTCTCCGCTGGTGCCTTTTCTTTTTTAAAGGGCAGAGATGAGTCCCGGGCTCTGCAGTCTTTCCAGGCGTCCAAATTAATTTGCGTCTGGGCAGCAACATAAGCAGCACGGGGCTATTTGATGAGAGTGTAGGGCAATGACATGCACTGGCAGTCATGCCTTGATCTCTTGCTTTCTTTCCTTGTCACTTTCCACCTAACCTTAATGCCAGATTCATGCCAGTCTAATCCACATGGGTGGCACACAAACCAAACCTTGTGTGTCTTAGTGGAGTAAAATCCAGTGCAGCTGAAAAGACACTTTCAAATTTCCGCTTTTGTGCATGTATCAAATATCTTTCTTGATCCAAGCGTAAATGACCGATCTACTAAGACTACCATTAAAAGTGCACCAATCATAAAGTGCATTGTCCTCACAGCAAATAAAATGAGCCATTTCTTAAAAATCCCTCTGCTAATTTCCTGATCAGTACCTCGAGAACAGATCCGTTTCACAACAATAAACACACTAAGGACATCTACAAAACAGCATTCCTTTAGTTTGATAAATGGATGTCAAAGTGAACTTAATGCAATTTGACATGCATTTGAAGTTGTGATCCAAAAAGGGGACCACAGCTAATGCCTAATTAGCATCATTAAATAATAAAGCAACTTAGACTAATAATTATTGCATGTACCCATTCTACCACTTGCACTGACAATTAACCTTTCTCAACTGGTGATTCGCAATTTGAGTAAATCCTGTTATCAGCAAATATAACACATGGCACGCACACACAAATGTGTTTCAAACACCACTCAAGGAAATCTATGCAGTGTTTACGGTCGGGAAGCAGAACAACAAAACAAACAGCAGATATCCACTTTCAGTAAACACCACCCAACCACTTAGTATCTTCCCAGTGGCTGGAGGGGGTGGGGAATCAACTTTAGGTGGCTGCTGCGAATGTCATTGAACTACTTGTGTTTACGCAGGCTTAATATTGCCTTGACAAGGTCTCTTTAAACACACAAGGAACGCTTCGGAATATATCAGCCCACCCGAGGGTTTAATTTTATAAATGCCTGCTGCTGCTGTTAGCAATATTTGACAAGTAATGTTTTCCAGCCTGAAGAGAAGTAGTTGAATTTAAGAAACACGGGAGGCGGGGAACCTCACAAAAGTGCACTCGTCTCTGGTGCCGCTGACCACTGTTCACAATTCTGGCCAAATCTCTGATATTAGCTCACTGAAGCCAAAAACACGATTACCCAGAGACAACATAAAGGTGAAAAGATTCAGGATTGAGCACTCTCCCAAAATGTCTCTCCCTCATCCCAATTTGGCAGCACTTGGCTTGTTGCCCACTCACATTGTGTGGACGGCCCTGCCACTGTTGCCATGGGGATGTGTGGACCTGCACAGGGCCCTGAAGGCAGAACGGCCTGGTGGTGAGGTGGGGGTTATCATCAGCAGCAGACTACACTGGGCCCCCATCCAGAGGCCTGGGTGCAGGAGAAGCTGTGAGGCAGTGGAGGCACCGCCTAAGCTCCGCAGGGCCTCTCTCCCTCGGGGATTCTGCTGCTGTTTCAAACCCAGCAGAGGATCTGAGATGCTACTCAGTAGCGCAGGGCTCCGGCCTGTCCACTGGGGGTCTGCTGCCTGACTCCCGTAAGCCTGGACCAGACGGGGTGGGCTACAGTGGGAAGGGGCCAGGCCAGGCGAGCTGGACTGCGGCCCAGTGCGGTGACTGCCTGTCTGCCCAGGCGCTGGGCCACGCTGCCACTCCTCCCTGGGCTCGTGCCCCTGCACTTGGATTTCAAAGGGATGTGACAGGGGGGATTGGCTTTCCCTCTCCATTGCAGGATCTCTGCCCCACCAACAGCTTCTCCGGTGCCCCCCCTCCAAAAAAAAAAACAGCTTTCAGTCCTCAATTTCTCCCAGCCCCCAAATGCCCCTCCAACAGCTTTTCTGTTTCAGCCCTGAACTTAGACTCCCTCTCACACTGTGCCATTCCCACCACTGCTGCCTCACATTTGGGAGGAGAAGGGGGAGGTTGAGTTGCTACACTGCACCCATCTGCCCCATGTCTTTCCATGCTGTGGACCATGATGCTGCAGCATGGCTCTCTGGGCGCCGTAAAGACTTTGGCAAGTACACTGGGCCTTCAAGCGCCCCTCCTCCTTTGTACTCCATCTCCGCCACATGTACACACTGGTGCACACCATCTGATTTAAAATTTACTTACGCAAAAACACGAATACATCCAATCACGTTCAAGTAATGAATGTCCACTAAGACAGATGGATGATTTGCATGGTAAATAATGGGAAACATCTCTAAATGTGCTGATTATAAACTGTTGAAGCTACTTTGGTTATGCCCGCTGAACCTGAAAAGATCGAAGTCAGATGCGGTGCCACAGTGTCTGTGTGGCAACCAGCTCATTCAGCAACTGGCCCATCATCAGTAATCGTCCTACGAAACCAAAATGACACTGACAGGCTGCGTTTCAATTGGCTGAGATATGCTTTTCTGTCTCTCGCTCTCATTTTAGGTTTCTCTCTCTTCATTGCTCTCTGCATGGCATTTCTCTGGCAGGTCAACCAGTGAAATTCCTCCCCTCTTGGTCTCAGCATTCCCGCAGCCCACCTCCCTAACTGGGCAGTGTGGAGTGGCTGGTTTAGGGTAGCATGGCAGTTCCCCAAAGCTGGTCTCGAGCTAAAGCTACAACTCCAGCCCACAACACATTCCTCCAGCAGCTGACCAGTCCCCCCAGCAACCAGGAGTGAGGTGAAGAGAGGAGATGAGGCTTTGTAGTGGTGCTATGTTATTGCCTAGAGACCTAAATGAGTATTATGCTGTTAAAGAAATACAAGGAACACCTTTCTGTGCACAGCTTACCCTCATCAACATTCTCATCACTTTTTTGAACAGCTCTCAGATCATCTTAAATGATCCGTTTCTTCCTACTTCTAAACAAAAGGTTCAGCTTAGTAAAAAGCCTCCTCGCTGGTTCACTGATGCTCAACAAGGTACTGATGTTTCTCAGCACGTTAACAGGCTGCACTCTCCTCCACATCTCCATCCTTTGCGAGGATGTGAAGGAGCTGCACATCACAGGCTATCTATCCAAAGCTACTCCTGGACAGCTCAAGCAGCAGTAGGACGGGAGCCGGACGGTCCCCTCCTCCGCTCCCTCCTACTTCTCCCCCAAGCCGAGCCAGACGCTGTGTTTACTCTCCTAATTACAGGGGAGGGGCCGGCTGACAGGCGAGCCATCACAGATTCCCCACAGGCCCAGGGCTGGGAACGCTACAGACACCCGCCGCTGTCTCCCAAATGTGAAGGCAATGTCCAACTGTCACTGGGGAGCCTTCACTGGCAAAACCCAAGAACCCAAAGAGAGATATTAAAGACATGAGAGGAATTGGCAGAGTTGGCACTGACAGGGGGTACGCTTGAGAAGTCGAAGTGGGGGACTGGGGGCATCGCCAAAGTGTCATTCAAAACAAAGTGGGGTTTGGACAGGGCACAAATACTCATTTACTTACACACACACACAAACACACACACACACAGATCTCGCTCTTATCAATCCAAGGCGGGAGAGTTACACACACCAGACACAAAATTCAAGTAGTAGAGCCCCCAAAATATATGTTCACACAGAAGTTCACTCCCTTTGGGCTCCTTCTGGAGCATCTGGCAAACAGCTATCGATTCTGCAAGTACACATCGCTCATTTTGGATGGTGAAGGATGATAAGCATCCACCTCCGCTCCTGCTTTGCTCCGCTTATTGTTTCTCTTCCTTTATCTGTTTGATCGTGACTTTCCAGATTAATCTCCTGAAAGGAGGGAAAGGTTCTCTATCGACATTTTATATGAGAGGGCAAAAGCAGTGAGAAAGAGCTAAATTTAGAAGTAGCCTGGAGCTGATACGTAACTTACAATTCCAAAGATGTTTTTTTAGTAGGAGACCTGTCAGTATTTGACTTATCATTAAGGACCTTTATAGAATTTAAAAAGGAATATTTTTCTATGTCATAAAACATGCTTGGAGAGATTTCTGCATATTACACAACTGGCTTGCTACAAATATAAAATGCTGTAGTTGCACAGTTTTCTACTCAACTGCAATAAAATGTGCAGCCCAGTGTGCTAATGTATGACTGTGGCTTTTTTAAAATAAACAGCAACTTTAATAAACTGTACCTACAGTGTGTGTGTGTGTGTGTGAGTGTGTACACTAACCCTCCTCCCAGGGAGGTATAATCCACTAGAGGTTGAAATGCTCCAGTGCAGTTGGGGGTCTGAGAGAATCGCTCTGGAAGCATGGTGGCTCACCCTATCACATATTCAGGTCAAATAAACAAACAAAAAAAATTGTTAAGAGAAAGGTTAAAACTGAAGAATTGTCTCTTCGCCGGCTCTGAGATCGCCTCCCCCCCCATTCCCCGCGGGCAACACACACACCTCACCCCCAAGAGGCAAGACAAGAAAACCATTTGATAAATCATGAATAGTCACAGTTGTGCAAGTGCTGTGACCATTTCTAAAATTTATTATGGGGATTACACACAAAATCACACAATGTAACATTTCCAAATGTGTTATGAATGCTTCCCAGAATCCAATTCAAATCCTAGGTTACCAAATAAGCCTGAACAAATCCCCCACATTGAGTTCTTCCACCTTTGAAGACTTGAGAGGTCCGGTCTGCAGGGCAGGTTTTACCACGCCACGCAGACACCTCAGCAGCACACAGAGAAGAGGGCTAGGTAAAAGGAGAGGGGGGAAAAGGAGAGCATAGCGGTGCTTTTACAGTGATGGCAACATAAATGTCTTTATTTGCATATTAACCTTGAATTAATTGCAAGTCACAAAATAAACAGAGGCGTGTCAATAAATAAAATTGGTTTAATTTTTCTGCAATGATACAAAAATAAAACATCAACTGAGCATCGTGTCAACTTCTAAAAAGAGCACAGATGCTATAAAAAGCAATGAGTGATGTGTCTTTGTGGCGAGACTGATAGTGTGAAGACGAGAGTTCATTCAGTCAGCGTTAACCTTGAGGCAGCAGAGTCCTCTCCCTCCTTGTTTGTCCTTGTCGGCTTTCCACCAGACTCGACTTTGTCTCCTCAGAGATGATCTGAAGGCGAGTGTGTGTTTAATTGCATCTGTTTTGTTTGTTGGCAAACTCCTGCGTGAAACACAACACAAACATTTATGGCAGCAATTAAAAGACATGTCATATTAATGGAAAGAACGAACTTGGCAAACACACACACACACAGACACACACACACACAGAGCCGTGCCATTATGGCGGCACAGCATTTGAATTTATGGAGAAATGTGTGGGAAAGAAAGCCCAAAATTTCCCAAGTTTAGCACCAGCTTGAAAACTGGAGCACAGACTTATCCGACAGCGTGCCCGTCTCTGAAATTATTTAAACAGAACTTTCAGCCTAAATTAAACTTATAAAACTGCACATGCTTAAGGAGATCAACGTGCCTTGTGTGCCTCCGTGTTAGCAAACTCTTCCCAAACAGACACTGAATGGGGTTCTGCCCCTTTAATCCCCGGGGAGGGGACTGGATGTGTTTTGATGACCTCTGGGGTCACTTACATGTTACATTACACAAAGGTTTAGCTCTTTTGTGATAAGGGAAGAGTGCGGGGAAAGCCCTCTGTTTAGGCATCTTGCTCACTATGCAGTTGTTGCAGCAGCAGCAGTGGTTGCATGTATCCATCAAACCTGCCAGGCTAATTAAAATACAGCTTGTGATTATCCTTCTCCAGCTCATCTTTCTCTCTTTCTTCCTCTCTCTCTGTCACCCACACACTCACAACCAAAAAAAAGAAAGAAAGGGGAAAAAAAGAAAAACACACACACACCAAATATCTAGCTACAGTAATTACTGCCTGCATCATTGATAAACAATAGAGTTTAACCTCAATCATTACATTAACTTAACTCTTAGCTGCGATAAAAACAATTTGAAATAAAGTAGTTTAAAACTTCATTACTACATTTACATAACAATCCTATTTTTATTTAGTTTTTTTGGCAGTTAAATGATATCTGGATGGATGGTAATAGTTTTAATTCTATAAAGTAATATTTCTGTTGGTTTATACATAATAACTTTGTGTATTTAATAAAGAGGGGAGAAAAAAACTAGAGCATGTTAGCAGAAGTAATATTGAACGATAAAGGCTGACTGAAGTGTAATCAACCTTTCCTGGGGGTAAATTTGAAATCCTATGTGCAGAAGGAAAGGCGCTTCTTGACATTACAGATTATCATTTCTATATGAATGCTTTACATGATTTTGTTCCCGTTTTAAGTCTCTTTTTTAAGCTGAGAATGAAATCCACCAACACATTCCTCGTATTCAGCCATGCGAATATGAAACTATAGGTGGGAAAAGAGAAGCAGAAGAGATGCGAGAAAAGCTGTTTTGATGGCAAATATGGTATTTGAAATTAAGGAAATTTACAAGCACCTTTTTTCCTCTTTTTTGTTTTTTTTAAGTGCGTTTATGTATTCTATAATGTGTTGATTATTTCTTTTCCACGCCTGGATAAAGCACAGAGCAGTGAAATAGGGGTCTGTATTGCCTGTAATTATCCAATCTTAAAAATGCGATTTTTTCCCCTCCTATCAAACAAGGGTCAAACATCCAGGGCCTGCGCAGTGCGTTTGAAAAGATGCATGGCTACGCATTAACTGTAGAAATCACAGATTGGAGCGGGCCTGGTGAAATCCTCACCCTCAGGTTGAGTGTAGCAGAGGCGGAGATAAAAGCAGTCGTCGTCAATTAGCCGGGAGTCAGTGGGAGCGCTGCTCGCCAGAGGCGTTTAACTCCTTCTCCTTTTAAACGTCCTTTTAAGATACAAAGTCCCCGAGGAGGGCCAGGCTTTACAGTTTAATAAATTATTTAGCAATTTAAACGGTGAGATCCAGCAGATAACAGCACAAGACGTCATCATTTTTCACGCAGTTTGAGACCCTCTGCATGCAGCTGCCAAACATAAGGAAACATTAATAAAATATTTTTTTAAATTAAGGTTTTACTGTCAAACTCTTTTTGGTTGTGTTTTTTGTTTGTTTGTTTGTTTTTATTTAGGCTTGCACATTGTAACAGTCACAAGCACACCCTCGTGTGAAATAATGTAAAACCTCAAGAAAGTGCAGGACTTCATTCACACTTTGTGCGCTATGATGATTTTTGCTATGTTTTAGTAATAAAGCAAACAGCAACACAATTAAAAAAAATACTTATCAAACAGTTAATTATTCCACCCGTTCAAATTCGCCTCTACGTGATAAGTTAAGTGATTAATAGACTCCTTTTCGAATAGATGAGGCAGTTCCTCTTAATCTTTCAAGAATAAAAATAAAAAATAAGCACGAGTTGCAAAAGAAAGAAAGAAAGAAAGAAAGAAAGAAAGAAGGTTACCTGAATGTGTCGCAGCTCCTCTTTCTCAAACATCTCCCAACTTTTCTCCCCTCGGCTGTGCTGTTAAAAGAAATCCAGCTTCGTGATCCACACCGCCGCTTCCCCACGATCGAAATCTGTCAACAGAGATGTCACTGAGTTTTGCAAAGTTGATAAGGTGTGCTGTGCGTCAGACTGTGTGAGCTCCAGAGGCTGAGAGAGAACCGGTACTCTCGGCAGCTGTCACTGCACCTTTGACTCCGGCCTTGCACACGAGCCACGGAGAGAGGCAAGCGACGAGTCATAAAAGCCCACGGTCTGTCTGTGTTTATAAATCTAAATCAATATTCAAATCTGTTTGAAGTGGAGCGGGTGTGTCCGTGCAAGCGCACAGTGTGTGTGTGTGTGTGTGTGTGTGTGTGTGTGTGTGTGTGTGTGTGTGTGTGTGTGTGTGTAGGTGTTACACAAAGCCTCTTAAGATGATACATTTACCAAGCCGTGACAAAAACCCTCGGCATATTATTTTGAGATGGGCACGCAGGTTCAAAATTCAAGTGACGTAGAGGAGGCTTATGTGTCCCTTGCAGCTTGTTGGTCCTCCAGTAAATATGAAATAACATCAACCCTGCACTAAGTAGCTGTTACTAGGTAAAGACAAAGGGAATAAATAAATAGTTAATATTATTATTGTTATTAGTATTATTGTTCTTAATATTATTATTATTATTATTATTATTAAATCTACTAAAATGCACTTTCGGCACATGAAACAGAATTAAAAGAGGCCTACCTTCATATAAAGAAGTCTGTTTCTCTTCGAGCACATCTTCCTCCTGCAGGAACCGTTTCAAGTGCAGTCAGTGAAAAGTCGTTCCGCACGTCGCCAAACGGAGAAGCTTTTTTTTTTTTTTTTTTTTTTTAATTGCATGGCTGGCTGTACCCCGCAGGTGCGGTGGCTGCGAGTCCCCAACTGCTCAGGTGTCTCCCCGGTGGGAACCCACCTGGAAATATTGTTTGTACATTTTGGTGCAGGGCCTGCAGCGGGCTGACGGTAGCAGACTGGCTGGCTCAGTGGATGGGAGGACAGTTTTAAGGAAATAAGTCGCTCTAAATCCCCCTTTTTTACGACGTGCTGGAATGTGAGAGGACGGTGCAGCCTTGAAGCTCCGCTTTGGTCCCCCGTTTTTTTTTTTAGGGTTTTTTTGTTGTTGTTTTGGGGGTTTTCCTACATATTTAATTCTACTTATATTTCCCGGTCTTCTTCTGCAGATTTATCTGGTGCCTCAACAGAGATGATAAAACATTTTATAATCGACTTTTAATATTGATCGGTTGTCTGGAAGCTTTCGTGATATTATTCTATAATAAACATCTGTGGTTGTATTTAAACTCGTAAAGTAAAAACGAGAGTGTGAAATTATTAACGCTTAAAAAGAGTTTCCCACTAAAATACTCGACATACATTAAACGCTCTGAGAAGTCTTTATTTTTCGGATATGTTTCGCCTCTTGTCCCCCTTTTTTATTTATAAATTATCTCTTACTTTAATGCTTCCTTTGATGTCATGAAAAAATATAATAAAATGAGAAATAAACTGACTTTTCTTTGCTTTAAACTCCTTCCACCTCTCATCATCCAACGGCGTACCGTTCATTTATTATCAGTGTGCCCTCTCTGCGGTGGGATGGGGATGTTGTCAGTCGCCCTCTCGCTGCCATTGGCTGAAGACTGTGCGTCAAAAAAAAAGTAGCTGGAGACATTTGTTTCCCAGAAAGGAAAAAAAAACCCTCCCCACCAGTGTGAGAGACGGAGACAGAGACAGACCTCAGCTCAGTCCTGCGGCTCCCATTGGCTGGCACTTTGTACAAAATCTAACTCAAACCACTTCACTCACAACACACCAACAAATCCTAAAGGCGTACACGCAGCCTCCCTCCTTCACTCCGCCGCTGTCGCAACGCTTTAGAACCTCATGTAGGCGCTCAACGCTTAACTTTTATCTCCAGTGAAGACGGCTGCTCCTGCTCTGCTCGGGTTTGTGATATTCTCCTTTTATGCGATAGGACGTCGTCGATTTCTACTGACTTTTATTATTTCTCCCGGAGGACACCAAGTAGACAAAGAATTTTCCAGTCATCCCTGCCAAGGTAAGTTCAGCTTCATTATTATTATTATTATTATTATTTTTATTATTATTATTATTATTATTATTGTTACACTACCGAAATTTAGTTAAAGCCTGCAATTCCTCACCTGATCACTTCCTCGCCTAATCGTTTTCTTTAGAAGAGGAAGCAAAACGTTTCAACTGGTGCTAAAATAAAAACCCACGAAGACTCGAAAAGAGATCCCAGCGAGGAGGTTTCAGGTTATTTGTTGGCATTAAATATGCCGTCTTAAACCCAGGCTGTCACTGATTTTATGTGTGCACAAATACGGGTGCAATGGGTGCACTCAACAAACTGATTTATTATATTAAAGAAAAGAAAAGAAAAGAAAAGAAAAGAAAAGAAAAGAAAAGAAAAGAAAAGAAAAGAAAAAAAAAACGGAAATATTGTAAATCACATCAGTAAATCAGTAACTGATAAAATTACATTGTGATAGCTTCTGATACTGAAAACAAGACCAGACTCAGCGCTGGGCTGAAGTTCTCTTGATGTAATAATTGGCTTTTAAATAATTAATTGATTCCTGGAGGTCATATTTTACCAATTTCACACTCACTCACTGATCCAGGACTGCTACAAGGACGTCTATCCATGTTTACTGAGTTGAGTTTCAGACAAAAATTTCCCACACATACACACACACTGCACTCGTGTATTCTGCGTAAATTAATACAGGATAAGGGCAGCAAAAATGGAAAACTGTGGAGGCGTCCAGGCTGAAAAGTTCACCGGAAAAAAAAGAAGAAGAAAAGAAGGAATATTCGGGCCTGCTACTGAAAATTATTCCTGGGCCTCTTCTGTCTTCTAGCTCTCCTTTTCCTCGGAAAATAAATAATTCATAAGACAATAAACCAACACTTCATTTGGATGGATCCTGTTTGGGGAGGGGGGGTCACAATTAGGAGTTTAGCTCAATCAAGCAAATATTTACGAGAGTTGAATTTCTTTACTTTTGCTGATACTTTATACTTTTTTCCTACTTTATATCAGCAAATTTGCGATGAAATCATAATTAACGCACTAGGATTTGAAGGAAAGAAATATAAAGAAAGAGAGCCGAGTTTGATTTGCAGGAAGCTCTGTGGACTGTACTCACACCAAACTGCAGCTCGGTTAGCTGCCACCTGGATCGCCTCGTTAAATTACGAAGAAAAAAAACATTTCTGATAATTAATTATTGGACAGAGTAATTATTATCGAGCGTGTGTGCGCGCCATTGGTTGACGGGTGTGTTTTAAGTGTGACAGATTGGGATGAGGGGGTTAAAACCGTTGGATATTGAAAAGAAAAAAAATGCAACTAATCAAGAGGCTCAGTGGGGATAACGCGTGAGGTTCACTGAAGTTGAAGTGACAGCAGTCAAAATTTACCAAGGAGCAAATTTGTTTATTTAAAAGAACTGCAAAAAAATAAAATAAAAAATGTGTATCGAGAAAGCATGTGTCCATTTTTCTTTCACTGGTTCAATATTTTAAAATGATCTCCTTCTTACATAAAAATAACACAATTTATTCACTAAATGAACCTGAAAATTCAGTAATTTTTACTTTAAATCACATCAATATGGGCGCATATTAATCTTCATCATGAAAATGTAACGTTGACTGTGTGCTTTGTCAGACTAAACGGACTCAGACGTTTTAGTAACAATCAGTTCAACTTCAGCTGTTTTTCTTCTCATCCAATCGATTATTACATACATACAATCTAATTAACATAAAATAAATAATATTAAAAAATAAAAATAAAGTTAGCTCCTAATAAAATAGATAATTTGCCAGCAACTTTTATTTATTTTTAGCTTTTATTTTGAAGAGATTTATCTTCAATTCATGGTGTTTAATTTCACTGAATAAAGGAGATAGTGGCTTTAACCTGTTGCAATCACAGGGCTCCTTTCTTTTTATTCGTTTTCTTTTATCTTAATCGTGGGAGGGCGTGTGGGGGTTGCAAAGATGAGGACAGCTGGAGAAGTGGCTCGTGGTTTTTGAGGAGAGCCATGCGCTCTGGAAAGGACTTATTTCGCCACAGCGTCACGTAAATAGAGCCAATATCACTTCACGAGAATATCCATCTTCCTCTTCTTTTCTTCTTCTTCTTTTAAACAGGTGCCAGGTGTAATACGGACCACACGGCGAACAGAGGACACCGAATACTCCTCGGGAGCTCCATCAATTTTCAAAATTTTCTCCAACTTCAGCACTCAGACAAACATTAGCATGATGTCGTATCTAAAGCAACCACCTTACACAGTTAATGGCCTCAGCTTAACTACTTCCGGCATGGATCTTTTACATCCATCAGTGGGCTATCCAGGTATGTTTAACCTCTTTGAAAATTAAATAAGATGTGATCACACAGCCTGAAAATGACTTAGGGCTCCTTGCTATTATGTTACAGCAATTAACCAGCTCTTCATATACATTTTTAATTCACGAATTATTATTGCGTGTATTATTATTGTTATTCTTTCTTTTTAAAAAGGAAAAAAAATATGAAAAATAAATACATTTATTAGACTGACCAGACCAATACGAACAAAAGGTGATGGAAAGTAGTCTACAGAAAACTTCTAGCGCACACAGCTTGGAGTGAGGACTAATCCTCAAGTCTCTCCGTGTGTGATTTTATTTTTAGATGTGGCTCCAGAGGAAATTACTGGCAAATTACTTTGATGTTTGCATTAAATTTTTTGGCACGTTAGACTCAAAGATGTCAAGTGCTACAATTTGCCACCGGGTTTTTTTTTTTTACTCTCACAGGACTCCAGCGTAATTAGTTTCAATTTGCCTTTGATGACTTTTTTTTTTTTTTTTTTTAAATTGTACATGTATACATAAATAACCTATGCGATTTTTTGTTTCTCTTGCACTTACAGCCACTCCACGGAAGCAGAGGCGAGAACGGACTACTTTTACGCGCGCACAGCTCGACGTTTTGGAGGCGTTATTTGCTAAAACTCGGTATCCTGATATATTCATGCGCGAAGAGGTAGCGCTGAAAATCAATCTACCTGAATCCCGGGTACAGGTGAGTCAACTGAAGCCAAGACATATTTAAAATATAGTTATATATTGTAGAATGAAAAAAGTGGCTTTGTTATTTTTTATTTTAATTTGAGAAGCATCAAACGAAACATTTCACTCTGGAACCTGTAAAGTATTTTAGTATTTTAAATAAATAGTATTTTACCTGTACTTGTATTTGATTTAATCTGGGGGAAAATATATTCTGACTCATTCGAAAGGAAACACAAGCATTAAAAAAATGATTTTTTATTTTATTTTATTTATTTATTGCTTTATATGTACTCTAAAACGCCCCCCACCTCACCCCACCCCGAACAGCAATATATTTACCGTGTTTTATCATCTTTCAGTTATTAGGACTGTTCCAATTACGTTGAAATAATTTTACTGGGGCAAAAAAAGCCTTTTATATATATATACACAGCCCTTTTTCCTATTTTAAACGGTTAGTATAGCTTGGTTAGTATTTATGGGGACATTGTAATGAATGTGTTCAATTATGTTCCTGCTTTAGGTCTGGTTTAAAAACCGGCGGGCAAAGTGTCGCCAGCAGCAGCAGCAGCAGCAGAATGGGGGGCAGAACAAAGTGCGACCTGCCAAAAAGAAAAGTTCTCCAACCAGAGAAGTGAGCTCGGAAAGCGGGGCCAGCGGCCAGTTCACACCCCCCACCAGCACCACCACGGTCCCCGCCATCTCTACCAGCACCGCGCCAGTGTCCATATGGAGTCCGGCGTCCATTTCTCCCCTCTCAGATCCCTTATCTACCTCCTCCTCTTGCATGCAGAGGTCTTATCCCATGACCTACACACAGGCCTCGGGCTACAGCCAGGGCTACGCCGGGTCGACGTCCTACTTCGGGGGTATGGACTGCGGCTCTTACCTCACTCCCATGCACCACCAGTTGTCAGGCCCGGGGTCAACTCTCAGTCCGATGAGCACAAACGCAGTCACAAGCCATCTGAACCAGTCCCCGGCGTCCCTCTCCACCCAGGGATACGGGACGTCCGGCCTGGGCTTCAACTCCACAGCAGACTGCTTGGATTATAAGGACCAAGCGGCATCGTGGAAGCTGAACTTCAATGCCGATTGCTTGGATTATAAGGATCAAACGTCCTCGTGGAAATTCCAGGTCCTGTGAACCGAGCAATCAGCTATCAAAAAGTGCACAAACAGTGACGAACACACGAGACACAGCGCTGCCATCCCTCAACAGAACACTTCAGACTGGGTAAAAACGTGAGCCTGGTACACCGAGGCAGGGCTCTCAGGGGGGCCTCTAGTTTTTGGCATGATGGTCTTTGGTCCTCCTAGAGGAGAAGTTAATGTATTTTAGCACTGGCAAAGAGATTTCCCCTCTCCCGTTTATTCACCGATTGTAGCCCTTCTTCTTTATCTG